TACTATAGAGATCTCATCTTTTGATCAGAGTAAGACAGAGATGAGTTTTTTGCTCCTGAGCCTAAAATGAAAAAACTGAGACATATTAGAGATGAATCATGAGATCCCAGGAGTCATAGCTGAGTTTTCTTTGAGCTCTTTCTCTGATCTCATGGTCCAATGTTCAGGAGACTTAAATCATTTATTTAAGATCAGATAGAGATCTCTTGTTTTGATCAGAGTCAGACATAAATGAGATTTTATATGGTTGTTTCTCCTGAGAGGAATTTGAGAAGTTGGAGAAAAGGCCTTTGGTCTCACCTTGGTATTAAAAGCAGCTCATTTGTGTCTAGGAGAAAAGAAGGAAACAACTATGAGATCTCATCTTGGATTTTGCTTTCCTATGGGGTGTCTTCTTACACTAGACACTGATTGGTTTGTAAACAGTTCTGTGGGTAGCTTTGACAAGAATGAATGAATGAGGAACTAACAGATGCAAATCGTTGCGTCACTATGTTGTTAATTTTTTGGCATTAGCATTTTACTGGCACGACCAACTTAACTTAAGTCTAGTTTAAATTCACCAAATAAATGTCCTCATTGTGCGAATATTATATTGTCACCGCCGGCAAGAAAGGAGAAGACAGCTAGCAATCCTTCCGCACCTCTGTTTGAAGAGAGACCAAAGAGGCAAGTTTGCTTCTATAGTGGCAGTGTAATGTTTAGCCCCATGGTGGAAGGAGGAGACATGGACTCAGGAGTTCTTCACTTGGTACTTCAGTTTATTTCTTCACCAGTCACAAGGAAAGTGCAGTAGTGCAAGGGTGAATTATTGCAAAAATAAATCAAAAAATTTAAAAACAAATAACAAGAAAACTAAGTACAAACTATTCAAATTATCATCGCAAACTGATATTAAACAACACAAAAACTTATAGGCCTAATAGGCCCTGACTATTGGGCTGTAGCACATGCACCCTTCCCGTCCAAAGCTGTTCTGCCCAGAGGAGCCTCTGCCTCCTTCCTTTAAACAGGAAGCCCTCCCACCTGAGAACAGGTGAATGGAACATGCAAACATTTAGATGACCTTGGGTTAACCCCAATAACCTTCTTGAAATTAACTGTGTATGTGTTGTATTTATCTAATCATAATTTCTACTCTTTCCAGTAGTGCTTAAATGAACTGAAATTAAATTACATGAAATGACTAGCCATGTGTCCACTGATGCTAGCCAACATGCTAACAGTAATGCTAATGCTAACAGTAATGCTTAGATCCATTTAATGGCTAACAGGCCTATGAAAATGCCCACGCTAAGGTTAGCTTAGCATGCTAATACCAATGCTACAACTGGCTTAAATGAAGGCACGGGGTAGCCCCATGACAGGCAGTCTGTTTCAAAAGACGAGTTGTTAGAGGTGATTTATAATTGTGTCCTCATTTCAATGTATTTCTCCGTGTATCTGTTTGTTTCCAGTTTACACAGGAACCTTCCTGTAAATGGTCTGAAAGCCCGAACCATCCAAAAAATGCTTTGACACTAGAAACGAACTGGATCATAGTTCAGTTGATCCAGACCGAGACCACCTTTCTTTTCTGATCAAATTTTGTCTGTTTGGTCCAGACTGTGGCCATTTGAGCTCTTGATACTGACTTTTCGCCTCACCCTGGTCTTACTATCAGTATTATTAATGGCAGAAAACCCCCTCTCACACTCAGATGAGGTGGGAAGGTATGTCCTACTTACTATACAAAGCTTTTCCAGTGTTTTGCCTTATCTTAAATAGATCATGGTGATTCAGCCCGCAGAGTGAATGGGACTATTTTTTTTTTCTGGTTCTGGAGTTATCTAGAGCTCCTGTATTATCACTGTGGCATTAGAGGGCTAAAGCTAACACCTCGATAATTCTACATCCACGAATAGTCTTGAAAGTCACTCTTTCTGTGAAAGAATGAGAAAAGGTGCTTTATGGCCTAAAACCATGTTTGAGTTTATGATTTTGCACCGCCACACAGTCAATAGTGATGACAAGAATAGCATACAGACTGCATTAATCATTTATATAAAGAATAACAGAAATGCATAGCCAATAATTCAGAGTGCCCCCGTAAAAAGAAAAAAAAATTACAAATGATTTTTTTAGGGGAACATGGCTTAGAGCCAAGCTCCCGCAGGTTGGTTTCCTTCTAGTTCGCACCCTGCCTATTCCAAAGGCCACACCCAAAGGAAGGGTGAAAAGCCTGAGGTCATAGAGAGGGACCAGATACTGTAAAATGTACAAATGGAGATAAAGGTGCACACTTTTACTCAAAGGCATGGTTTTGCACTCGGTTGTACACATCAAAACTGACTGTAGTTGTGAGTGAGTGTTTGAGGGAGAAGCCCTATTTCAGCATGCTTTCTCACCTCTGTACGTCTGGCCAATCGCTGTGTGCAGTGGTTGTGCTTGTCATATTGTTGGTTTATGAAAGTTACAAAAATTGTGAAATGCAAACCCCGTGTTTCTAATATTGGAAAAGGTGTGGGTGTTTTAGACGCTGTTCAACCATGTGACAAGCACTTCATCTGAAGCATACTGACGCCACCTTAAGAACAATTTATGACCAGCACCATCTGTTAGTCAGAATCATTTCAAATAACTAATAAATTAATTACTGGAATGGTAAAATTTAAAAATTCAGATCCAGTTATTATTCTTGCTAAAACAAACTGAAGTATTGGCAAGTTTAAAGTAGTAATATTGTCAACAGTTGAAAATGACATGCCCAGTATTGGGGTATATTTCTTTACTCAGTGTCTACACCATGTAATCTGCACAGTAGAGTTTGCATCCATTAAATTATATTTAAAGAGACATTATTGGGAATTTGTCTTAGTAACACATGATCTATTTTACAGCAGGAAACCTAACAACTCATTTAACAAAACAAGCTCAAGTGCTGTCTCACATTATACAAGGTCAACAGAACGCCACTTTCATCACATGGGAACACTTGAGGACATTTAGCGTAGTGTCAACTGTATATCACCCTGGGGTTTTAGAGCCATTCAATTACTGCTGCAAAGCTAACATGCAAAGAGGACGAGACGTCCCTGAGTCAGCACACCATACTCACAACTCTCCTGCTACTATAGCTAACATTACAACAACAGCAGCACAAACTAGATGGCAAGCTGAATGTCCGTGGGCAAGTCATTTAATGTTACTTGACACACAAATAATGGCTTTAATAGGGTTATGTGGCGGGGTGTGGGCCACTTTGTTTGTTTCCAATTTACAGAGCCATGGGCTGTGTACAAACACTAGATTTTTTTTCAGTGCGCACACAGAACAGACAGCTAGTTGACCGTGAGGAAATAAGTTTGGGCATCCCATTTTTAAAGGTTTGTCGATTTCAATCTTGATAAATGACAGGAGTAATGCAACAAACAACAAGGATAAGTGTTTGCCTACAACAGGTAATGCAGTAATGTGGTCAATTGGCCTATGTATATATTTTTTCATATTAGTGCAGTTGCCATGTGAGAGTGCTGATAGTCACAACAGCAAAAAATGATATGTTAATTTTTATTGTGAGTATAACAGTATTTGTTTTTATTCATGTCATTCTACTCATGTCCAAACAACTGAAAACATGGAAGTAGTTTTCACTATTTCACTATTCCTGTAAATACAAACAACATCATAAATATTACTAATATGCAGTATATCAAAAGTATAGCTATCTGTGAAGACCAACTTGTTCTTGCATACTGTTTAAATGCTAACAATTTACAGAGTTGCCAGGATATTAGATACACCTTGCATTGTAATTGGTAAAGGCAAAAACCAACTAATTACACAGCCATGCTCCACCTACACAGGTGTTTTCACCTTCTGTACTTTGCCTAATTATACCTCTTCTCAGGACTGTGTTGGCATTTAAAAACTGACATCTCCCTGACACACTATCTTTTTGAACTTGTTTGGATGAGACAACTTGCACATCATCATAACCTTTACTTAAGTATATGTGACAACTTAATATTTCAAGTTGTCACAGCATGAAAAGCACAGGTGAAACCAATGGGACTAGTTTACTTAAATGGAATGCAGTGATGTTTAATGTTTTCAGTTACACCTGCATGTTCCCTGCTATGTCAAGCCAACATGTCTGCTGTGAAAATGATTTATTAGTACATGCCATTTGGTGACCTCACATAGTTACCAGCATAGCTCCACCTCACTTCAACCTGAGCAGAGGTCTAATTAGAACAATTCAAAAGCATCTGTGTGGGCAAGAGTGTTGCACCTTAATATCAGGGTTCCCCTTTTAAGTAGCTTTGAGGTTCCTAATACCATCAAACACAAATATCATTTCATATCATATTAATTTACATTGGGTGAAATATTCAAACCCAACACTTCATGTTTTTACAGATGCACCATTCCATCTAAACAAAATATTCTGGGTGTTTTGAATGTCATTTAATCCTAAAATACTGACATAGTTCATATCTTAGGGAACTTTGGGCTCTTCACTATAATTTATATATAGATTTTTAAAGTTCTATGGGATTGAACACAGTTTGGGAGCACTGAATGAGTTAATGAATAATGCAGCAACTGTTGCTTGTTAAGGAGTTAATATGAGCTTGGGTATGAGTATCCAACATATTGGTCCAATGCATTTGCATGTAGCCTCTGTGTAGGTGTCTTTTCTTTTGTCATTTTCTTGTAAAATACTGATAAAAGCCCCCAAATGTATTTATATAGGTTACCTTGAAAAAAACAGTTTGTCTTGATAGTAATAAAAACAACATTTGAAATGAATATGAACTCAGAGTGAAATATGATTGGAGACAGAGTTGAGCAAGGAGATCAAAATAGTGAATGACAAGGAGAGACCCAGTGAATTAAAGAAAATAAAGTACAGAGAGCCAGAGAGAGACTGAGAGAAAGCAGAGGTGACGCAGAGAGAGGCAAATAAAGAGAGACAGAAAGAAAGAATGTGAGAGAGAGGGAGATGGAGAGAGCGAGAGAGAGCGAGAGAGAGAGAGACCATTGGTGCCGCAGCGGGACCGACTGTCACACGGACTGTTAGGGGTCCTTACCGGAGAGAGCAGCCGCTGCTCGCCGTTTACCGATAGACACACCGGTGGAGAAACACAGAGGAGCAATAAAGAAGGAAAAGAGTAACGCAAGGAGAAGAGAAGAAGAAGAAACAAGGGGAATCGTTATTTTTGCCGTGGCTGCTGTCGCCTGTGTGCCATCACCTCCACCGGACAGGATATACTGTCCCCATCATCACCACTCCTCCTCATCATCTAGACCTCTCCTCCTCTTCCTCCTTTCCTTCATCACTATGCCTGGTTGGCGGAGGAACCTCACTTTCTGTCTGCAACGGATGCACGAGGAAGGTAGGCAAAACAAATTAATGTGAGCTTGTGTTTGCGCTTGCACGTGAGTACGTGGGAGTGTGTATTTTCAGGGGGGTTTCTTGCTGCTTAAATTTGTTCTGAAATGCGAGCAGTTTGTTTCTGGAGACACTTTGAATCTTTCTAGTTTCTGCTTCATGTGTTTAGTTTTCTGGATCACTGGAAGTGCGTGCGCGTGCGCGCGCGTTTTTTGCGCATGTGTTCTGTGGACTGATTGATAATCACCTGCAGCTTTGGTAATTGTGTCTGTGAGTGTGTAGCCTATATGTGTGCGTGGACACGCTTGGTCTGCTGGAGCCGCGCGCTCTGCGCACACGTGTCACCACGGGTTTGTTCCGTCGTTTCACCAGAGATTGCGCGAGGCTACTGATGCTGACAGGTCAGGGTGCGTGTGCGTGCGTGTTTGTGTGAGTAAGAGAGGGAGAGAGGCTGTGTGTTGGTCCTGCAGCATGAACGCAGGAGGAAGCTGACAGTGATGATGTTGGTCAGCTACAGTGTGCACGTGCGTCCGTGTTTGTTAGCAGCGTGTGCAGCTGAGAAAGTGTCGCATGTGAAACGGACATAGTGGTGACAATGTATGGATGAGTGAGAATGTTCTTGTACCTTTATTCTTGACACTGTTTCTGTAGTTTAAGGTCATTTGTGAATGAAGAGTTGAAGTTAAACTGCTGGGGGCAAGATTACTACAAACTAGGCTTTTCGGATTTTGTTATGTATTTTTTTTTATTTTTTAAAGAAACCTGATAATCTGATAAAATGATATATGAATAATAAATCAAAAAAATATGAATGTGGTTTACAACACTTAAAAAATATTTAGAACAGCCACTGATTGATATTTCTTTTTTTTTTTTTTTTTTTCAATGCTTAATGGGTGGCTGCACAATTTTTGAAGTTTGCCTTTAATTAAACAATAAGTATGTACCTTGAAATATGTTTTGCTTTCTGGCCATTAAGACATCTGTTACCAAAGCAATTTCAATATGGTGATTGTGATGGGACAAAATCATTGTGCAAAATACATTTCAAAGTTTATCTACTGTTGAATAAAGAGCATTGTCCAAAGAAACAGTTTAAGTATTTAAGTCCCTCTTTGTGTTACTTGACCTCCACTGCAGCTCAGGAAGGCAAGTTTATTAGCACATTTGCCAACAAGGCAATTCAAAATGACACTTAAATACAATTAAAAAGAGTTGAATAGAAAATAAAAATAAGATTTTAAAAAAGAGAAAGTTACAGTGGGGTCTAAGAAATAAATCAAAAGCCTTAAATTGGATGACCTGCGGTCACAAGGGTTGTGAGATCTTGTGCCACAATGTGACAATATTTCTCATCAGGAGAAAAAGTCTCGCATGACTCAGGCACTTGACATTTTTCACATGCTGTCACGCCACATGTCAATTTTCTCATGCATGGACTCATTGTCTCCACCCAGCTGGTGACACTGGCGTACACCACAATAGTAATTAAGTTAACCCCTCACGCTGTCACAGCCAGTGGTAATGTCACTGGTAGAGTTTTGCAATTTAAACATCTAAAAACGGGGCACAAACTTGATCTTTTTTGGGCTATGAGCTGCACTTAATTGAAGGTGCTGAAGTTAACGTGTGGATTAGTGGTGAGGTTTGCTCTTTCCTCTTAACATGACAGTGCTACTGTCATCAAATCCAAGTCTATTAAGAAATGGTTTTCAGAGCTTAGTGTGGAAGAACTGGCCTGCATAGAGCGCCAACTATAGCCCCATCCAATACCTTCAGGATGAACTGGAAAGCTGACTGCGAGCCAGGCCTTATCTCTCAACAAAAGTGACCGACCTCATTAATGCTCTTGTGGCTGAATGTGAGCAAATCCCTGCAGCCAGGTTCCAAAATCTGGTGGAAAGCCTGAAACCAGATGAGTGAATGCTTTTATACCAGCAGTTTAATTGTTTTGGAATGAGGGCACATTGTAACACTATTAATATAGAATATCTATAACAGAGGACTAGTGGTTTTAATGGCCATGTGTTAATGGTAATATAGCATTAAATTAGGTGGAGATGTTGTGTAAATGACTGAAGTTGCTTCTTTTACTGAAACAGTTAAAGGGATTTATTCCCAAACAAACCTTACTCCAGGAATTGTTTCTTTCAGAAGAAACACTGTAACATAACCATTGCAACAACTCTGACTGGGGATAAAAAGTTTCTGGAATTTCAACGACAATACTCTCCAAAGTTAACACCAAGACTGGTAGTCTAGCACAACCTCAATAAATGCGGAAACTGATGGAACTCACATCTATCAGGAAATTATTGCCAAAAAAATGCATATTACTTAACTAAGACAACTATACAATTCCCATTCAAAACTCTAAATGGGAACAAGATCAGTGTGTGTGCTCACACAGCAGACACTCACCTACAAGCCACCTGGCACTTTCCACCTATTAATCACTTTTGGCACAGAATCACTGATTAACTTACACACATACTATGCTGCCACATCTCTCTTACTCCACAATTCTGTGTACTAGGTGACTAGGCATCTCATAGCGCTTCCTCACCACCTTTAGTGAATACCAAAAGTGGAAATTCAAAACCAACACAAATGCAGCTCAATGGAAAAACTATTTTACTGGAACACATAACAATGGAAAGTTGTTTGTTAGCCATTTTTCTTTCTCCTCCTCTTTTACATGTATCCTGACTGTTTGTCATACTGGAACTGCAATATACCCTATACATCTTTCCATTGTCCACTCACCCCCATCCTACCTATTAAGCCCACTGGATGGGTGGCCCACGATGGCCCAGTGGGGCTTTTGAGACTCCAGGCAGATGGATGCAGAAGCCCAGGGAACAAGGGTGAACACAAGTGGCTCTGAGATTAATTGACAAATGATCAAACTGAAATCTAACTAAGACCGCCTTCTGAGGGTTTGGGGGCTATTCAAGGTTTGACACGAGACCAAGATTAGGCCAGCACCCTCACCTAAATCCTCTGCAAAGAGCAATCAATAGACCTCCCTGATCCAGCCTCTGTTCCCCTTCTCTGGGATTACCTTTGCACTCATCCCCTCTGTGGCTGTAGAGTGTCACAACCTGGCTCCACAGTAAGTGACAAAAGTGGGGAAACGACACAGTCTGAAAATAATAATAGATATTTTAATAAGTAAATTAAGCAAAATGTACAATTGGAGGTGTCTGTCAGATCAGTATGTATGCAGTGTATGTGTGAGTGGAGTGTATGGGTGTCAAACACAAAGAACCAAATAAAACAAAATCAGTTGGCAGGCCAGGAGAAGAGGGAGTCAAATCATCAAACAGGCTCCTTTTATAGCCACCTGAGCCCCGCCTGCTCAGGTGTGTTGCATCTCACACCAGGTATCACTCCACCCACCAATTACCTGCAAGACACAGAAAGATACAAACAACAAGAGAGGGCCCAAACCTGGGGCCGTCACAAGAGGTAGACTGGGTCTTGGCAGCTATCTCTCTCAATTGGAAGTCTCCCTCCCAGCCTACTACAACTTACTCTCTCTCCTATTCATAATTTCATGTGATGTCAGATTCCAAAGAAAACGCTCCCCGGGAGGGCAAAAAAAACGTTTTCCGCTGCCTGCCAACCAGGAAGCAAGTGATACACTGCTTTGAGTTTGTTACTTTTGCATTGCCAAAACGGATGTTTTTTGTGCTTTTGCATTCACTAATCGACGAGGAGACAAACCTGTGCTGTGTTAGGTGAGGGATTCCCCACAAGGTCAACGTAACCATTACCACAGTTGAGTGCTGGCAGGAACCGGCAGTGGGTGCTGTATATGGATCCCAAGTGCCCATCATTTGCAGTTTGTGTCCATATCTATGTTTTTCGTGAGTTGAGAGGTGATATAAAGAAAATTTTGCGGCATCTCTATGAGGGAATAAGGTGTGAGCTGCTATCCTGGTGTGTTGTTTTGTCCTCCGGGGTCACCGCGCATGTCACATGACTGAAAACTATGAATAGCTTATGTATGTCTTTGCTCTCCTCCTCTTTTATTTCCCCCCCTCTCCTTTCCTCTGTCTACAGTTCCCACACATTTACACACTCTCTCACACACACAGTCACCAGTTGTTGCCGTTAGTCTTACTATTATGTTGTAGTGTCTTAGTGATGTGATGCAATTATGATGATGACACATGTGTGGTGTCAAATATGTGTTCTGTTGTGTTCTCTGCCAATGTTCCTTGTTGTATTGCGGATCACCAATAAAGACCAAAGGTGATCCATTCCATCATTGTTACAGAAAGTGTGAGAGCTCCTCATGTGTACTAGCAGACTATGTACCCTATAACCCTGTAAGGATGTTTATCTTCTGATTGAAAATCCTCTGCATGTTTTCTTAATCTGTAAGTGTGTGTGTAAGAGGGAGAAAGAGAGGCAGTGCATGGCTAAGTGAGAATAGGTGTATGGATGTAGACTTTGTGTGTGTTATGTGTAAGGCCAATATTTATGTGTTCGACTAAGCGGAAAAAGTGTTTGCTCAAGATGAGTGTGTGTGTGAGAGAGAGTGAGAGAGAGAGAGAGAGATGGGGCAACATAGAACAAGAATGATGTTTGTTTATGATGTGTGTTTGTGTGAGAGACGGTGAAAGACACAGCGAGAAGTGCTAGACATGGAGAGAGATGGTGCGAGAATTGTGTTTGCTCATGGTGTGTGTGTGTGTGTGTGTGTGTGTGTGAGAGAGAGAGAGATGCAGCTTTTGAATTAGTATGCTGGATACACAGTGACCCTGCTGTCCAATGATAACTGCCTTATGGACACATGAATGGTTGTTTGAGGCCCCTAATTGTACCAGTCCTTCAATTTTAATGGGGGTCACTTGAAAGAATGCACTTGCAGGTGAGTACATCCTCTCATATAGTACCACATGTACTGAACCCCAGCTGTTGAACTAGTGAATTTATCATATACATTTGCAAAAAAAAAAAAGATACATTACTAAATTGGTATGAAGATCGATT